TAATAAAAAGTTGCACTTAAAAAAGTTGTTATACAAGAAATTTATCCCTTACTTTCACTCTGACCTACCATGACATGAACAAAAAATTTAAGCATTACAGTTCTGTTTCAGTTACTTAGCGCGTATTAACTAATATTTTATGGGAATCTTAATAACATTACAAAGCACTGTATATAAATACATATAACATATTAGTTTACTTGAGTAAAGTACAGGCATACATCGTGTCACGCGCATGGAATTTAGGCATGAAATTCGAGTTAAAAAAAAAGTTGGCATGTAAATTATATAATTTACTTTATATATTTACTTTATATATACATCACGCACGTTCAAAAAAGTTTAATCAATTGCCTAAGTGAGCGAACAAAGTATTTATACCTCTTTCAGTTACACTAAAATAACGTATTCTATTATTTCTGTTTACAATAACCTTCATAAAAACTCATTAGGCACTTAAAGGCAGCTGAATCTTGTTTGATATTATAGGTAATAGTTTCAACTTTCATCTCTAATAGATTAGGTGACAGAATTCTGCAGAATTATGAAACTTTTTCCTTAAAAACTAAATTGAAAAGAAAATTGTATGATGTAAAATTCACGTAAGGCTCTTAGCTTATAACTATTTTCTACACAAATATTGAGTATTCTAATATACATAATTATATTCTACTTTCTTTCACGAGTTGATTCCATCTTGTTAGAAAGAAATCGGTTAACTGAACGAAATTTGGTGTCTATTCAAAGACGAGCGATGCTTCTTCTCCTGCGTGCACGCCAAATGTTACTCGAGCGAAGGCCGTCTTTGTATTGATTTTAAAAAGCAGGTATAAAGGATCTGACTCTAATTCCAACGGATTTTGAAACTAGAGATATTATTCTAGCCAACCCAACAATTCAAATTCCCCAACTAGAAACTTTATTTTTTTATTTTTGGCCAGCTTTTCGGGATTTGGCCTCACTGTGCGCCGCGGCGGTGCGCCGCTCCTGTCTGCCTCTTGTACTCGGCCAGTTATTCGCTGACTATTTCTTTTAATAATTCAAAAACTAAGCTTCGGAGAACATTTTGGTAAGAGAAAAATCGTCTTAGAATTTAATCAGGAATACGACATTTCAGGGATACTATACCTATTTTGAATCACCCTGTATACTGTTTGCTCGTAGGTGCGGGATGGAGCGGTGCCGAGAAAAGTGTGCGCGGTGGAGAAGGTGCCCGTTATTTACGGCACGTTACACTAGGGTGGATCGAAAAATTTCAAAGTTATATTTTCGATTTACTATACCGCGGAAAAGTTGCCTTAGGTGTATACTAGCATACCAAAAAAAAGATCCAAATCGGACATCTTCCGATCGCGCAAAACGCTGAAAGTATTTAAAAAATAACGAATTTGACAGTTTTTTCGTAGTGTTTTTTAATTTGGGGTTTGTATTTCTTTAGCGCTATGGTACTTAAACGTAAGTAGTAGCATTGAATAGTCTGCAAAAAAATATCTCCGCTTTTGAAGCATATCTTCCGATCGCGCAAAGCGTCTGAATATTTGCAAAAATTGAAGATATTTTTTTGCAATGCTACTACTTACGTTTAAGTACTATAGCGCTAAAAAAATACAAACCCCAATTTAAAAACAATTTACGAAAAAACTGTCGAATTCGTTATTTTTTAAATACTTTCGGCATTTTGCGCGATCGGAAGATGTTGTCCGATTTTGATAATTTTTTTGTTATGCTAGTATACACCTAAAGCCACTTTTCCGCGGTATAGCAAATCGAAAATATAACTGAAATTTTTCGATCCACCCTACTGTATACTTCGCGTTCACATTCGGCTCGAAGCCCGTCAAGGTTAGACAACGTTTGTGTTATTAAACGGCTGTTATTTAGATCGACGGTTGCTAATGTTTCCCTGACCCATACAGGGTACTGCTGAATTATTTGAAAATTCATTTCATATTCCGGTACTTTTGGTACAAAACATCTAAATTCCTTCTTCTGACTGTAATAATATAACTGTAATGAACCCTCACTTTCGTTATATCGTTTTTCCATCCACGCGGTTTTGAACTGTACCCTGGCTTGTATTGAATAGAATTCATCGAGGAAGCTTTCTTTGAATTCTTCGTACGTTAAAATTTCGCTATTTAGATCTCTCCACAGATTAGCTCTCCCTTCTAACGCTTGCTCTATTATTATTAATTTATTCTTTTCGACAATATTTTTTACTCTAAAAAACCTTTCCATTTTCTCTAAAAATTCAACGGGATTTGAGGAGATCTCGTCTTTGAAAGTTGGCATTTTTATATCTATATTGTAATTATTTAAGTGCCCGATAATCGTCTCTAATCCTCGCTCGTTTGCTCTCTGACCTATATTTTCTTCAATATTCTCATTTGTCCAAGTTATTCGCGGGTCGTTCATTGTCCGTAACGTCTCGAGTTCCGTACGCGTTCGCTCCAACTCCTCCAGGATTTTGTTCGTTTCCTCCCTGCCTCGCTCCATCTCACTCGCGCTAATTTCGCCGAACGGGTCCCTTGGTGTTATCGGCATATTTTGCCCTTTCTTTTTATTTCCTATGAATATACAGGGTGTCCTGAAATTCACGAATCAAAATACCATAGCAAGAAAGTCGTCGAAAAAATAAATTAAAAAGTTATTTGCCATTTTTCGTTCCGAGCAGTAGTTTTTTTTAGATAAAAGGTTCAAAACAGGCCAATCGTACCCTACGGTTGAACGGAAACCTGTCCGTGAGTCGCGCGTCGATAGTGTTAGTGCATTAACACAATACAATCTTTCTCCTTTCTACTTATCTGCCTTATTAGTTTTTATTAATATTAAAATTGGTAATTAAAAGAATTCTTGGAGATTTAAAATTTTATTTTTGATAGTGAAAAAAATTAACTTAAAAAATCATCTTGGTCAAATCGGAACTCGGATGACGGCGGAACAGGGGGCACTATCACCACAGTTATTTTATTTTACAATTTTCTTAAGTGAAAGTACAACTAATATCAAATTGTAATCTAAAAAGATGCTTCCTGGATAGAAAATATCATGCTCATTGCAAAAAGCAATTATTGATTATTTCGGAGCTACGTGAACGCGGCCGTGGCAACGCTGAGGCGCGCGGCGACTCACTCACGCACACTAGTAGACGCGTGGCTCACGAACGTGCGTCCGTTTAAAAAGCGATGCGGATTCGCTAATTTTTAAATAATAATAACTACTTTGTGAGGCGTGACTTGAAAAAATGATTCGGGACTCTTCGACTCAGTTTTTAATGAGAAATATCAGTATATAAATGGTGGGCGCGAATTAGAATACACCCTGTATAACTTTTCTTCTCAGTTTGACCCAATCTACTATAATCTTTGGAATGGCCCAAATCGAATCCGACACCCTGTATAAACTATAATAAAATATAAAATAAGTAAGAAAAATAAGAAAAAATCATTTATAAATGTTTTATTTTTTCATACATATAGGGTAAGCAAATCTATTTCGGAATAGCACCTAATTTCGGAACGCTTTAATATTTCTTGCGTTAGCTGTCACGTATAATGTCAAATTTTGATCAGTATTATAAATGAAAACTCTCTGTCACCAACATCAAAATATTATGTGACGAGAAAGCTAAGTGTTCTGAAATAGGTTTACCCTAAAAACAAAAATTGAAAACGTAAATATGTCTATAATTACATGTCTCAAAGACGTTTTAGAATTGAAAATATCTTTCAAACGTCTTTAAAATGTTTTGAAGACGTTCCTAAAACGTCTTAAAAACATGGTATAAGTCCTTTAAAAACGTCTTTAAGATATCTTGGAGACGTATATCCAAAAGATATAAGACGTATTTAAGACCAGTTTAAATGATGTTGAAAATCGGGGCACACGTCTCAAAAGATGTCTCAAAAGACATCAAAAAGATGTCTGTCTGGCAATATTGTGAGATTAACACATCTAAAAGATGTTTTTAAGACGATATAATGTTGTCTGGGAAGTATAGGATACGTGTGAAAAAGAAATTAACGTCATATTGATAGAAATATGGTTATTTTATAGTTACACCACCAACTGAATATTTTAAATACATTTTTCTTGTACAAACACAAGTTGTTACATATTTATTTCTCAAGCTTGGATCACCAATCGTAAAGTTTAAAAACATTTTGTAAAGCGCAATTCGCTACATGTGTGTGGCAAGGCACGCTGTGCGTAACGTCCAACTAATTTAGAGATTGTATGTCTTCGTAGTGCGCGTCGATAGTTCGATATAAACATCTTCTCTTGCATCGTCCAGGAGTAACTTCCGCAACCATTCTCGTTTTTCAAAATTTTTTTAAAGAACGACATGTGGAAGATGTTCACGCTCAATGGAAGTTACAAGTGGATGAATTTATTACCGCGACTCGTCACAGCGCGCCCAAGCACCGCACCATCAGTATGCAACCTTTCGAAGTTATCCCTGCGATCGCCGACAGGCTCCTAAAAACAGTGTACAACCGCGTAAAAATTGTAGGTCCGGCAAACTTCGAAATAGGCGATCAGGTACGCGTCAGCAACTACAAAACGATTTTCGAGAAGGTGTATACACCAAATTGGACCGTTGAGGTATTTAAGGTCGTTAAAATACAACGCACCAATACCATAACCTATCTACTGGAGGATTATCCCATCGCTTGGGCGTTCTACGAGCACGAGTTACATCGTGCGACTTATCCCGATGTGTATCTCGTGGAAAAATACTGCCTAGGAGGGGTGACAAGGTTGACGCGAAATAGTTGGGATTCAATGGATCAAATCAACTCTTGGATGCAAAAGGACACCGTGGTTTAATCATATAGACCATTTAAACAATTTTTTAATCCAAAATATGTAACATACAACTGTATAAAATATAAAGTTTATATTCAAATTTTAACTACAAAAAGTTAAATTCAATACTCTGATAATAAATGTACTGTTACGTCCCAGGTGTACGTGGGCGCGCGCGCGCGCCACGGCGCCGCGGGGTGTGCGTTTGTTGACGGTCTAATAATAGCGACCGCGAGCGCGAACGCTAAGTGAGATAGGCAAGAGAAATAGTGCGAAAAAAAGAGAGAGAGATGGTCTCGGCGAAAGAAAGGACGAGCAATGCTATGTAACGCTCGACGCTTCTATTTTCGGCGCGCCGCGAGAGTTCTTGGAAGCCCGCTGGTGTTTTGCCTTGCGGGTTACGCGCTGCTGTCCGTGTTTCGCGAGTGTGCGTGTGCGTGGGTGTGTCGGAAGGGAAGAGGGAACGGTCCTTCCGCAGGGTCGAGCGGAAGCAGTGCAGGAATGGCGGTTCTAGGTGAGAATAACAGAGTCTACTTAGAGAGACCTTGATTCTTCTATTAACTATTTTATTAACTCTCCTCTCAACAACAGCCTGGTCTTTGTCGTCAGGGTTTCCACGGCCTTGATAGTGGGGCCCTGTTCGGGGCCAGTCGGTGAGGGACGTGCCGCGGGGACTGGTACCACGGAGGGCCTCATGTCTTCCTTAGCGACGGGTTGTCGCGGAGCCGCGGTCCCGGTGAAGAGCTCCCGGGGTGATGGGAGCGGGGTTGCCGGAACGGGCGGTGCAAATAAGCGCGCTCCGTAGGCGGAAGCGGGATCGACGGCGGTGAGCGGGCCCGGTGCGGCGAACACGTAGAGATCGAAGTCTCCGTGTTCAGCGTAGGCGCGGGCTAATCGCAGAAGCTGTATCTTCCGCCCTGACCGCCGGGATCGACGTCGTTTCCCCATAGCTGCACATGACGGCTTCTTTTAGAGTTCGCACAGAGAGCGAGGATATGACACGAAATACTGGACGAACACACGATGGCGACACAGAGACGGAAGGGAGGTGATGCTGGTGAGAAGGGAGGTCGGAGTTCGCGGCCCTTCTTCAGGGCTCCGACTAGTCGGACGGGACGGAGAGGACGTGGATCGGCGAGACGACAGGACGCTCGAGTGACGGACCGGCGAGGACGTGCGCGGAGCGCGCTCAAGCCGGGCGGACGCGGATGGTTGACGCACCGCGGGCCCCGGGCCGGGTCTGCTGAACAGGCGCGGACGGGAACCCCGAGTGTCGCCGGGACTGAGACGGGAACCGGGCACACGCGAGCTGACTGCGCTGTTCAGTAAGGTGACGGTTATCTTTGATAGTTGGATTGTTCACCGTGGGGAGGTGAGCACGAAGGAGGGTTACACTGCACGAGAACACTGCACAATAGACACTATGTTTTGGAAAGACTGAGGCTTTCCTCAAGCCGAACCGTGATGCCGGGATCACCTCGCGGAAGGTGCGAAGTGACGAACGCGTTTCCAAGAACCGCGTGATGAGCTTCCCCGGTTGTGACCCGACGCGATGTACCGACCTTGTTCGGGCGTTTCGGTAAATCTCCGATCGACAACACGAAGCCGTTGGCTCACCGAGCAAGCGGGAGGTTAAGGCAAATAATATTGATTCCGGGACGGGAACAAAGGAATAAAGTTCGGATGAGACAAAGGATCAAACACGGTAGATAGAAATTATCCTTATGGTTCGCGATCACTCAGCAGATTTGACAATTCTATAAGATAGATCGTTGATCCTGATTGCAACTCTCATCATCGTGACCCTTCCCCTTTTATTAATAAGACAATACACATTAGAACTTAACAAAGATTAGTTACACAGAAGATTCGAAGAAAACGGCAGTGACTTAATAGGACAATTAGGACGCTTGACTGTTAATCATTCAGCGGACGGGAGGAGAACACTGGCTCGGTGAACTCTAAACCGCCCGCGATAGAACCGAGACACATGCGAGATTCGACGCGACGGTGCGGCAGTTAAACTGATAACGGAGGGCTCGATCGCGTGAAAACTCGACACGGTGACTCTCGAACACGGTGACAGATCACAGAGAATAGCGAAACGACAGTGACGGCGCGACGGGCGAGAAGTTCCGATGATCCGATTGTCTTTGTCCCGAAACGCAAGGGAGATGGCAGTTCGGAGAAATCCGAGCTGTCTTCGGCGAATTACGGAGCGAATTTTGGGAATCGGGACGCACGCGCGGACGCTGGAGCGACGCGATCGTCGAACAGCTGAACGACACGTGTTTGTCTCGGGTTTGCGACCCGCGCCCGGTATCCGAGATTGAGACGCGCACGTGCGACCCGAATTTATGCCCGATCGCGAACACACTACGCGACACTTGGAGAATCGGTGGTGCGTGGAACTCGCGAAGAATTAACACTGTTCACACTTATGTAAGACCCGCTTCGCGCGGGCTGAAAAGCTAGTAAAAGCATGAATCAGATTAGATTTTAGATCAATAACAATGAATCCTGTGCCATTGCATAGTCCTTTTATGGTATCAAAATTCCTTAATAGAATAATTGTAGCACTTATTTTTATTTTGAGTCGATGAACTGGCATTCCAGAGGGTGTCACAGATTTTAAAAACTCAGTCGGGAAATTCTTCTCCGAAAAATTTGCAACATTTTGTACCGATTTCACAAAAATCGGACCATAATCTCCCTGTACATGGAGACCTCGAAACTGATTTTGAAATTTTTTTATTTTTTGGGGTATTTTGTCTTTTTTTCTCCTCTAAGCTATCATTTCTACACCGCCTTGGTGTGGAACAAACAAACAGAGTGAATGCGTGGGTGGGTGCGTAGGTGGGCAAAACTTAAAAAAAACCCATAGCAGCCCAACCCGAAAAATTTGGAAAATTTTAACACCGGTTGCAAGAAGATCGGTCCACAAATGCAGGAGGATTTCCCGGTGACAACAAACAAACAGTGTGAATGCGTGGGTGAGTGCGTGGGTGAGCAAAAGATCGGTCCACAAATGACTAAGTAACTCGCGGTCAGACAGACAGACAGTGTGAATGCGTGGGTGTATGCGTTGGTGGGCAAAACTTTCGAAAACTCACATAGCAGCCATCTCCGTTTGGAAAATTTAGAGATCGATTGCAAGAAGATCGGTCCACAAATGACTGATTAACTCGCGGACAAACAAACAGTTTGAATGCGTAGATGGGTGCGTTG